ACATTGCATATATTCCATTGATTGGTGGTACTATCCTGTATTTAACCAATCCCTGATTTAGGCTTTGGAGTTGTTGACAGTTTTTCATCATGAAGTCGGGTACTGTGGTGAAGGGATGTATATGTACATAAGTATTTATGTACATCACTGATTATTCCTTTAAAGAGAGACTCTTTGAAGTGAAATTACTGAGTCAAGGGTTATGAACGGTTTTGTGCACACAGTGTTAGTATGAACAGTTTACTGTGCACACTAGAAGATATCAGCCTGCACCATCAGGAGTACTGTATGAGACAGCCTTGCTGTATTGTGCCATTGCCAACACTAGGATATACACGTGTGTATAACATCTTTATATTTACAAAAATGAGAGGGAAAAAAAAGCATCTCATATTGGTTTCCTTTTTGTTGTTAGTGAGGTTGAATATTTTCCCCTTTTATTGGGATGACATTTGTATTCTTTTTTTAACTGCCTGTCCCATTCTTCTAGAATGTTCATCCATTTCTTACTGACTTATAGCAGCATTTGCTTATGTTTTAAGGAAGTAAACCATTCTTATATATGTTGGTCACTGCAAGGATAATAACATAAATCAAATCCCCACTTTTTCACATTTCTGTTCAACTTTGACACTAGCTGCCCATGCAGCACTTCTGTCTGTGACCTTAGCCACTGAAGCTAAGTCAGATCTCACAAGTTCAAAGGGCACAGTCCTCCAGACTGGCAAGTAGTAGGGCAAGGACTTCAGATGCCACCCACAAGCTTGGGTGTCCCCATGACCTCCACACTTCTGAGCTTCTGGCTACAAGTTTGGGGTTTTCACACTACCCCTTCATGATGCCAGGCACAAGCTCTGGGGTTCTCCTCCCCTCCTTCATATCTGATCTCCTAACTACAAATTCAGAGGTTCCCTCTTTCACCTCAGGATGGCAGCAACAAGCTGAGGGGTTCCTGGCCCCCCTCACTTCTTTTTTCTTTTTCTTTTTTTATTGTACTTTAGGTGAAGGTTTACAGAACAAATATTTTCTCATTAGACAGCCAGTACACATATTGTTTTATGACATTGGTTAACAATACCATGACATGTCAACATGCTCCCTTCTCAGCCTTGGAGGACCGTTTTTTTTTTTTTTTTGGTGAAAATACACATAGCCAAAGATACACCATTTCAAAAATTTCTACAAGTACAATTCAGTTACGTCGATTATGTTCTTCCAGTTGTTCTGCTATTCTCACTTTAGAAGAAGGTTTACAGAACAAAATAGTTTCTCATTAAACAGTACACATACTGCCCTATGATAATGGTTAAGAACCCCACTACATGTCAACACTGTCCTTACTCAACCTTGGGTTCCTATCACCAGCTTTCCTGTCCCCTTCTGCCTTCTAGCCCTTGTTCCTGGACTGCTGTGCCTCATTAGTCCCATTTTGTTTTATGGGTCTGTCCAATCCCCGGCTGAATGGTGAACCTCGGAAGTGACTTCAACTCTGAGCTAAAA